ATATTTAAAATCAAAAAGTATTTTACTGGGTGACTTTCACTTGTACTTGAGTCATTTTCTATTAAGAGTCTTTATTTTTACCCAAGTATGACAATTGGATACTTTTTCCACTGCTGCCTTGAAGCGAGTATAGAAGGCATTTAGCTTGTCTGGTAGGCTCGCGTCACTGGGCAGCTCAAGGCTGGGTTTCCCTTTGTAATCCGTGATAGTTTGCAAGCCCTGCCACATCCGACAAGCGTCAGAGCCGGTGTAATAGGATTCGATCTTAGTCCTGTATTGACGCTTTGCCTGTTTGATGGAGGGCGTAGCGTCCGGATTAATGTCCCGCTCCTTCAAAGCGGCAGCTCTAGCCTTTAGCTCAGTGCGGATGTTGCCTGTAATCCATGGCTTCTGGTTGGGATATGTACGTACGGTCACTGTGGGACGACATCTTCGATGCACTTATTAATGAAGCCAGTGACTGATGTGGTATTCAGGCGAGCAAAACCTTGAGACCCCCCCCCCCCCCCCCCCCCCCCCCGATCTTACCGGAGGCTGCGGTTCTGTTTTGCCGATGAGTGGAAAACCCAGCTAACTGAATATTATCCATGTCCTTGTTCAGCCACGACTTGGTGAAGCATAGGATATTACAGTTTTTAATGTCCCGTTGATAGGACAGTCTCGAACAGAGCTAATTTAGTTTATTCTCCAGTGATTGCACGTTCGCCAGTAGAACGGAGAGTAAAGGCATGATTATCAACTCAGGTTATCATTTTCTTTATTTATTACGTTACTTAGTTTTACGCATGGGTGCGTCAATAGACTCTTAGGGAATAAACAATAATAAGCCAGTAGTAAAGGGAGAAAAGTTGCCACTTTAGTATAGGGCCCGCAAAATGAGGCTATATTGTAAAGTGTTACTGATTAGGTATTAGATCAACATTGAACTAGATTCAACAATCACCCATTGTAAACCTCGTGGAAAATATGTGATGTTGGCATAAAGAATACTCAATGCTTTGTAACATAATTAATGAATAAATGAATAATGTATTTGTGCTAACTACTGCATTCATTAGTGTTAATGAATCTGTTAGTCTATATTGTAAAGTGTTACATCAGGTATTACATTGAACTCGATGTGTCATTTTTCAACAATCATAAACATTGTGGAAAATCGCCATATGTAATGTGAATGGTATTTTATGACATGTTTTAATTGAATCGTTCACATCTGCCTCTGAGAATGACTTGGATGTGGCATGATTTCTTAAATATTCTACCTTCCTACTACTATTTGTGGTCTTTCCTAGAACTTCCTTCCATTGCTATGTAGCCTATGTGCACACTATTACAGCATAGGGCTCATGTAATGTGTAGAGCTTGCTTCCTTAGATATTTCCTTCCTGAAAATGCACCTGTTACGTGTCCGTATGCATAAGTATGGGTGGCAGTGGGCAAGGGATAGCTTTTGAAAAACAGATTGACTCTCAAGGAAAGCTGTTCTGTGAATCCACTGCACCCTTCTGTTAGAGTCCCACCTGACTGTCATGGCAGGCCTCCAGCTCACAGCAGGAAAGGAAGTCACTCCGGGCCATTGCTCAGTTCGCCCTCTGCTGGGCGGAAGTGAAGCCTCCTTGAAGCCATCAATCCAATAAGTAATGCTGACAGAATGCAAGAGTTCACATCCTCTCATTAGACCGCAATTCCTTCTGACCACAAACTCAAGAACACACAATCTCACACACCTCCTGTTGCTTATCCATCAGTAGAAGACATCTGTTGAAAAAATAAGGGTGGATAAACACAAGTGGGGTCAGAAATTATTGACACACTTGATAAAATTAGCAGAAATTACTGTATAAAGTAAATAATTAAAATATTGAGCTATATTTTATGCAAAACATTTTGGGGAAATTATATTATTTTATACTAACACAGTTGCTCAGAGAAAGAGATTTTGTTTAACATTTTTTATTTTTTTTCTCAAAACGTTGGGGGTCAAAATTATTGACACTCCTGTTTTCAATACCATGCAATATCTCACCTTGTGAGGATAATGGCACTGAGTTGGAGAACACATTGGGACGGATCTTAGACCATTCCTCCATACAGAATACTTCCATATTCTTGATATCCTTCATCTGCGCTTATGTACTGCCCTCTTCAATTCAAACCACATGTTTTCAATGGGTTTCAAGTCTGGAGACTGAGATGGCCATTGCAAAATGTTGATTTTGTGGCCAATTAACCATTTATTTGTGGATTTTGACGTGTGCTTGGGGTTATTGTGCTGGAAGATCCACCTGCGGCCATGTTTCAGCCTCCTGGCAGAGGCAACCAGGTTTTTGGCTAAAATATCCTGGTACTGGGTAAAGTTCATGATGCCATTACCTTAACAAGGGCCCCAGGACCAGTGGAAGCAAAATAGCCCCATAACATCAAAGATCCACCACCATATTTTACAGTAGGTATGGGGTTCTTTTCTGCTCATGCATTCTGATTTCGACACCAAACCCACCACGTGGCCAAAGAGCTATATTTTCATGTAATCTGACCAAAGCACTGATTTCAATCTAAGTGGCAATGCTGTTTAGCAAACTCCAGGTGTTAAATTTGTTGGATGACATGAAAATAGAGCTGACACTTGGCCTCAAGTGGATCTTCCAGCAAGACAATAACCCCAAGCACTAATCAAAATACACAAAGAAATGGTTAATTGGCCACAAAATAAACATTTTTCAATGGCCATCTCAGTCTCTGGACTTGAAACCTATTGAAAACCTGTGGTTTGAATTGAAGCGAGCAGTCCATAAGCACAGAGAAAGGATATCAAGGATCTGGAAGGATTCTGTATGGAGGAATGGTCTAGGATTCCTCCCAATGTGTTCTCCAACTCATAAAACACTTTAGAAAAAGGCTCAGTGCCATTATCCTTAAAAGGTATTGAAAACAGGGGTGTCAATCATTTTGAGCCCTATCTTTTTGAGAAAAAATAATAATTATTTGTTAAACAAAATCTCTTCTCTGAGCAATTGTACTAGTATAAAACATTTTGGGGGAGCATACAATATAGCTCAGTATTTTAATTATTTATTTGATATGGTCATTTTTGCTCATCTTTTTCAAGGGTGTGAATATTTTGGATCCCACTGTACGTTATCCAGAATACTCGGATTAGTGTATGTAGTTTTGATTAAACTAAATGGTAACACCAGGTGTGGCTGGGTCTGTGTGATTGGTCAGCTGAAGGGCACCATGTTGTTCCAATCATTTTGAAAGGGTATGGTAAGAGCCATGCTGTTCCTTAGCCTGGGCACACTCGTTGTGACCATGGATGGGATGGTTTTGGTGCTTGCGCTCTTTGACTAAATTGCCTGTGTAGTGGACAAGAAACTCGCCCGTAGCATTTTGGCCAGAGTGTATCGGTGATGTCACCTTCCTTGAGATCTAAAGCCAATTGTCACCCATGGAATTACAGACCTGTCTCTTGCACTGTTGGCTAAGACAGTTGGCTATAAGTGGTGTTGTGCAGAACGTTGTAAGTTTGAGCCCTGTTCGGGGCAGAAAATAATGAACTATGTTGCTGTCTATAATGTACCATATTTATTGTATGTGAATTGGATCCGTATGGATAAATTAGTCTTCATGTGGTTATCACGAGAACCTTTATCTTATGATTACATTTACATGACTGAGGCTTGTGACCAAATGCAGATGAACAGGAATGTTATAAATGACCTCTATATGATTCCACATGTCACTTGTGTTAGTCAGAACACATTGCTGAAAGAGCACATTGTTCCTCATTTAGAATTCATTAACATCCCTAGTATTCTTAGTGCATTGACATACCATTACCAAGCTATTGTATGAAATAACTGAACTTAACATATAGGCAAGCACCTTTATTTGTTTAACAGGTATACAGTCCCTATTGTACAGTTTTCTTGCTAGTTTGTGGTCTTATACATTTACTAACAGTGGTTTAGAAAGGCAATTGCTAATGGAAACAATGGCATATACAATACAAATTAGCAAACATATCAAAATCAGTTTTTACAACTTTTGTAGCAACCAATTCTTTCTATTGGTTTGCCATAGTGCAAACTGTGTTATTTGTAAGACAGAGTTTAAACGTGGTTTTAACATTCAAAATATATTTCTCTGTCTTAAACACATCTCAATGTGTAGACTGCATTCATTGTGCTTCCGGTTCAAGTCCTCCTGTCCAGTAATGTTGATTTACAATAAGAATAATTCAAGTGAGTAGGGCGGTTCAGGCAGTTGAATGGTGGTAAAGCTATGATTAAAAGTTTAATAAGAATGCACTGTTGCTGTGTGTGTATATGGTGTTTATGGCATTGTGCATGAAGGCCAGTTCAGACTGAGTCCTCAGCTATAGTTTTCCAAGCCCTTTCAAAAGTCCTTGAGGATTCCCGGTTTCACTCTCAAACATTGCTTACATGATTAACACACCGATAGTTAAGCGTACGCTGTAAAGGCTTGGGGGGGGGGGGGGGGGTACATATGTGTGTCAGACCTGGGTTTAAATATGATTTGTTTTCTTTCCAATACTTAAGCTGCGCTTGATTGAGCTTGCCTGGTTTAATGGAACCAATGGATTATTCCCCAAAGTGCAAACCCCACCCTTCTCCATTAAACGTTGAAGTATTTGAAGAAAAATAACAAATACTATTTGAACCTAGGTCTGGTGTGTGTCCACGTCCATGTCAAGTCCAACATGGCATTGTGTTCCTACATCCTTGTGACTTTAGGCCATTGTGGCGCGAACATGTGATTGGAGGAGAGAAGAAAATTAAAATGAAAAATAAAAAACGAACGAGACGTGTCCGTGGTTGAAGCCTGCTCAGCGAATGGACGGGCGTTTCTTTAGCCGCTATTGTGGCTCTATTGCACCGTGTTCTGCAGAAAGCACTGGTAGTGGTGGATGGATCTGTCCCAAAGTCCAGGGTGGAGACCCTGGCTGAGCCCCTCCCCTTCCCCGGCAGAACTCTCGCTCACGAGCAGCCGCAGCGGTCCACCACCATGGAGGGGATCTTGCCGTAGATGATCTGCTCTTTGCGGTTGAAGTAGAGCATGTTGATGGGGGACATCTTGGTGGGGGTGCAGCAGGGCCCTGCGGTGCCCCGGGGGTTAGCCTTGTTCACCAGGTGGGTGTGGGGGTACTTCTGCAGGTGCATGTACTCGCACTCACCAGAGCAGTAGTTGGCCTTGTAGCGCTTGGGGGCAATAATCCAGTCCCAGCCAAAGTCTTCAAAGTCTACCGTGAGGGGGTAGCGGCAGCAGCGGGACTCTGGGGAGTTCTCGTCACAGTCCAGGCCTGAGTCTCTCCTGGAGCGCTTCGGGCCCTCCGAAATCTTCACCTCCATGAAGGGTTGCTGTAAGGGCACAATACAGAATGGTTGAAAACATGAAACATGCATTGAATGACACATTGGGAAACATATTGCCGTTTGATAGTCCAATCTAATATTGCTGATCCTTTAAATCAAGGTTTCAAACTTGGGTGTTGTGATACTTTGTGCCACTGAAATGATTGCGTTTTTAAACACTAATTTAATGGTTGGTTGGTAAAAAGAATTCTAATTGCACCAGAAATGAGTGCCAGCTGTAGTGTGTGTGTGTGTGTGTGTGTGTGTGTGTGTGTGTGTGTGTGTGTGTGTGTGTGTGTGTGTGTGTGTGTGTGTGTGTGTGTGTGTGTGTGTGTGTGTGTGTGTGTGTGTGTGTGTGTGTGTGTGTGTGTGTGATAACAGAAGCTGTAGGCAATTACTCTGATTAGCACAGTCACACAGAAGACTTCTGGAATTTCTGGCCACCTGAACAATGTGAATTTTTATGTAATCAGGTTATAGGACATGAGATTATTGGTGGCCAGGGCAAATATTCTGTCACAGGTTAACACCTTAAATTAGGTATGTGTGTTTATATTAAAGGTTCTAAAATATATTTTTACATATGAGCACATGAGAGCAAATCCACAGGGTGCCAAAACCCCTCTGATCAGCAGGTATCGATAAACAACTGGTATTTGAAGCCCTGGTTCTAAATTTGTCTGGCTACAAAAGTTAACACAAAAATGAATTTGCACTCTCTTGCCATGGGTGTTAAATGTGAATATTGCATTATTATGCATTCATAAATGGGTTATGGATTACTTCCCATAGAACCGACGAGGATAAACTACAAAACTATATGGAAATTGCTTCGATGGGAGATCAAATCTAAACTCACCAGTCCTTCTCCCACTTCAGCTGAGGTAACCGCCAGATCATTTCCCTTCGAGTCCAACGCATTAATCTCGATCCCCCAATTCGTGTCCGGTTGCCGCAACCACACCGACAACACTTGTTTCACGTCGATACTTTGCCAAGAGCTGACTCCTGCATTCACGTCGATCTTTAGAGACCGGATCTGTACGTTCCTGCCCCCGTCCGTGACAGGGATCAGGCGGGAGATTTGCAGGAACACCGTGGTGACTTCGTCAGCTGGCTGAAGGTGCACCCATAGCTGTGCCCGAACTATGCGGTTCGCCTGAATCTTCGAACTGAAGGAGAAAAAGCAACACTTGGGTTTCCCATCGACTTGGACGATGGATTCGGCTGGAGGAGAGAAATTAGAACTTTAATTACAATATGGAAATGTAATTTCTATTTTGTCAATAAACTACATTTCTAAACCAAAATAAATGACTTGTTTTGTTTTTTCTTCAGTTGTATGTAACACAATTAACTATTGTGTTTTCGTTACTGAAACCCCTTGGTAAACCACTTTCAAAATATATATTTAAAGTTACAATGTCATGACACATTGATAAACTATAAAACACTTAACAATGTGTCATCTCCAGGGTATTCTCCAATATAGCCTATATAGTTTAAGAACCTCCACACAACACCAGAGCCACTGGCACCTTGTAAGATGGAACTCGGTTCGTACGTAAAGTTCTATATTTGTTTCAAGTCAACATGAAATGACAGACTAAAAAAAACAATTAATAATTCCTATGAAATGTCAACCTATTTCCAACATTGTGGTGCAAGTCGCCTAATACGGGATCAGACATGCAGGTGCGCTATGTGCCCCATGCGTAAAAAACAGCTGAGCGCTGGTGCCTTTTCAATGTTATTATATAGAGACATAAAGTGTTGCATTGAATAATATCATATAAAACTTACGTTCAGTGGCCATTGTCATGATTGTTTCTGTGATGGCATGTTCATCATCTTCTTCCATAACTCCATCCTTATTGTCATCTCCAAGTACATCATACTGGTCAAGAAGTTTCTGCAAAGGTGGTGCTTTAGGCAAGAGCTGCTTGACAACATCTCGGCTGATATTGGGCGCGTGCTTGAGTCGCAGTTTGCTAAGAATTTGTGACTTGATGGCGTGTAATCTCATGTTTTTGATCTGCTGTCGGACCTCGCATGTTGAGCACTGCTCACCGTCATCCGTGGCCGGGGGTTGGTGGTGCGCCGTTTGATCACCAAGCCCCATTGGACCGAAAGCAACCATAAAACTCAGATAAATTAGAACCTGCATCAGATGCATTATCTAAGGTGCGGAGTTTGTCCCAACGTGAATATGTATTTGCGTGAAGGCGGACAACAGAGTTGCCTGTGTTTTAAATCAGGCTCTACACTCATAGGTGTCATACTTTAATTCGGCAGCCCTTTTTATACTGCAACTTTGGCCTCTCTTTTGTGTCGTCAAAATCGATGATTGGTTGGGCTGGCAACAATGAATTTAACAGACAGACATGAACTGTATTTTTCTGTCAAACCTTAAAAGAGGTATGGCAAGGTTCGGAATAGTTTTGAGACAACTACACTATCAATCAAAGACAAGACAGTTCTGCAAATGGTCAAATAAAAATGACGGATGCGGTTATATTGATGAATTGCATACATTTAAATCCGCAGCCTGTCACCATCGGAACGCCACGGAGAAACTTGGTTTATTCCGCTCATCCCATCAACACGACAGGGATCAAATTAATCGGTGTTATGACTTCCCTTCATTACGATCACTTAGTTATATGACCAGTTTGCCTACTTCTCTAAATCTGTTTCTCTAGAAAATCTAAGATATATTAATTTACAAATATATGACAGGAACCACTCTTTAGCCTGTACTGACATAGGCTACATGGAGTAGACCTACTTCTTCCTAAACGTGTTTCCAAAGGCAAACTTACTTTATCAATAGGCTATAGGATAGATGCTATTGCACTGAACATTTATGGCGAAATGGGCTCTACTGTAGGCCTACGATACTGTAGTAAACTATAGGCTACTGGATATTGTTGTCTTGAGGTGTCTGTGCTTACGATTTACGAAAGCTTTTTAGTCCAGACATTTAGTGCCATCGTGCGGCTTATCAACAACAGTTGCAAAATTACGCACAAGTTATGAGATATTATTTTTCTTCACAGATAAACAGTAACATATGGGTTCTAATTTAGATCAGTGCAACCGACATTTAGAAGATGTGTATGGCTCACAACAAGAGTCAATCAAATCATCAACTAAAACATAAACGAATTTAACGAATTCGTCATATATATTTCAAATGACACCAATTGGTTTTGAACATATCCGAGAACTCATAACTCAAAATCTGACACAGTGCGACTGCAGTGGCTATAGGGAAAGCGCGCTAATGTTCCTCTTGTGCCATAATGGTCCAGACCTCTCGGCAGACGCATTAGTAGCCTTAAAACTTAGATACAAGGAAGCTAAACGGGGTTACACTTCCATCAAAATCAGGAGACAGGATTATAATCTAACGATAGATAGCATTATAGAAACAACTGACTATATTCCTTACTTTAAACATTTCAATAGTCACTGAGAAGTCAAGCATGGATCCACCATGCGCCACAAGAGGGTGATATTGTATAAGTAACAGTAGCCTGTGTGAACGCGCACAATTTATCTCCACAACCCCTTCTGCAGTTTACTAATTGCTGTTGCATATGTATAAAACAAAATATATGATTACGTCCTACAAACTACAGCTGCCGTCAGAACGTTGAGTCAAACAGGCAACACTTTCAACGATGATCTATGGAAAATCTCCACTAGAATGATGGAAAGAAGAAGGTATAGTCCTCCAGGTCCAACTATTCTAGGATTTGAGAGTTTAAATCGATTTTTGCATTTAGTGGGATTACTGCACAATGTGGTATGGTGCAACACTGAATGCCCAGTTTGGTAACTTTGTGGAAATGTCGTGCTGAGAGAGAAACCTGCCTTCCAAATTTCATGTTCAAGCCTTAGACGCATATGCGGCCGTTTGAAAAGGAGACGGAGTAGACAGGAGAGGCGGCACGTTTGGTGATTTCGGTTCACAAACCGTATGGATGTATGAGACTTCTTTATTGAAACCAACCGTTGGGGAAAGTGTCGTTCAAGAGAAAACGATGTGTTTTCCTACTGGATGAATTTTATATTCATGAGGGGAAACTCACCCAGTCATACTTTTCCAAGAGCCTTCTTGAAGGTAGGCTACGAATCCCACGCGTCAGTAATATTTTATGGTATGTACCGATTTTTCTGGTAACTGTGTATGAAATGGACTAGAGGCTACCCCTAAACGTATGGCATATTGAACAGAAATGTGCTGATGTAGGAATTCTCAGAAGCCTATTTCCAACGCCGACAACCGTTTTGCCCTTCCTCCGTCCCGGCTAGTATTTCTCCTGGACCTTTTATGTTCACATTTGAATAGTGAAATTCTTCCATATATGCCTTTATTAATTCAAGAAAGGTGGGTTATAGTTAAAAGTGGGGAAGGAGTTTCAAGGGTCGCGTCCCATGATATCTGGGCTAGAGTGACATGCTTGAGATATATGGTAACAGACACGATCTTTTCCCAAGTTGTCTCAAAATGTGAAATGATGTGTATATGTATTAAAAATCTGGTCGACATAATATGGATCAGCACTGTAGTTAGATAAGGGGTAGCCTCTGTCAAAAAGCATAAGATACAATGCCATCATTTTGCAGCTTCAGTAAAAAGCTCCTCTTATGTGAGAGATGAACAGGATGATATAATAGTGTGCTGCTCTGTCTGAGATAAATAATCACACGCTCCTGTGAATCTGGATCAGGCGGGACTGAGGCAGCACACATACCAGGACAGATGGAGACTACAGCAAATAACATCAGTGCTTTGTGCGTTCAACCTAGAGTCACATGGTCTATTTATACATGTTCTGAAAAAGACTGAGGTAACAAACAACAAGCTCATGGGCAATACATACAACTGATGTTCAAAATAACTACTGTAAGCCCAAATAGCAGATGTCATAGACTCACCTTTTCCCCAAAGGTCACTACAGCTGCCTAGTCTAGGCCTTGTATTCAGTGTGTGCTAGTAGATACAGGTAACTGGCAAAATAATGGAAACAGGAGTAAATTAGGGATACAAAGTGTGTTGAAAGCAAGTGCTGCCACAAAGGTGTGGTTCCTGAGTGAATTAAGCAATTCACATCCCATAATGCTTAGGGTCATGTATACAAATTCTGGACAGGCCATTATTTTGGCTACCGTGGCTATGCCCCCATAGGATGACAATGCCCCCATCCACAGGGCACGAGTGGTCACTGAATGGTTTGATGAGCATCAAATCTATGTAAGCCATATGCCATGGCCGTCTCAGTCACCAGATCTCAACCCAACTGAACAATTACGGGAGGTTCTGGAGCGGCCCAAGAGACAGCGTTTTCCACCACCATCAATAAAATACCAAATAATGGAATTTCTTGTGGAAGAATGGTGTCGCATTCCTCCAATAGAGTTCCAGACACTTGTAGAATCTATGCCATGGTGCATTAAAGCTGTTCTGGCTCGTGGTGGCTTTATGTTGGTGTTTTCCTTTATTTTGGCAGTTACCTATAGCTACTGCTGCTTTGTGGTAACAGGGGTAAAGATGCTAAGTCACTGTGAAAATAGTAGGCCTCTCAATTCTTTCCTCTGCCATCTGGTATTTTTAGGCAGGCTCTGATGGGAAAAAAAATCACTGAAATCCTTTCCCTCTTCTCTCTCCCTACAGCACAGGGGAAGATATAGGACAGGAGCATGGCTGACTTTCTGGACTATTTCAACGCAGCTCAGTTCAGACAAGAATCGGCTTCCTAGCCGTCTCTTCTTGACCAGAGCCCAAGCCCCCCTCCGACACATTCCTCCTTCACCAGCTTCTCTCTCCCCTCCTCTCTGAGATCAATGCTTCATTATTTATATAATGGGATGCGTCAAATCCAAGAAGAGCGATCTGATCCAGTACGCCAACTCGGTGGAGAAGGCGGACGGCAAGCCTGGGAAGCGGCAGGGCGTGAACACGCTGCTGGTCCACTATGAAAGGGGGTCGGCGGACGACTCTGCTCGGGTGGACCCCATCCTGCTGGAGTATGCCCAGCGGCTGTCGGAGGAGATAGTGGCCCGGGCCGTGCAGCAGTGGTCGGAGGTGGACAGCCGCTACAGTGACATCCCCTACATTGAGTGTGATGTGCCTTGAACCTCTGTGGAAAGGATTACTACTGGATGCCCAGCAGACAGACAGACATCACTCTGATTCAGGTTGAAACAATACATTACGAAGATCTACCAGCTGAAAATGGCAAGATGTTGATGCCATTCTATGGTCCAAAGACATTTTTCTGTTTAATTCATACTTGGACAGACAAAGACCTTGGTTACTCCTCTAATTTTCATCAATACCATGTGCTTGCCTCCATTGTTAGCTAGATGATGAGAGTTCCGAGCTGGGGTGTGTGTGATATCTTTGTCTTGGGAGCCGATAAAGCAGAAGAGTATCATTGAATCCTGCTTTGAAAATGTACCGTATCTGCCTTTCATTTAATATCTACCGTTTCCGCTTGACGCATGCCATCCTAGGGCCAAATAGCAGGTCCGATGTAGGAAGTTATTTATAGGCACCTCAAGTGGGCAGTGTTTTTCACTTGAGATTTTTGCTGGAGTCAGCAGGTACATGCCTCCCTCTCCATCTGTCTGCCCAGACAGAAGCTCCCAGTTCAGGGTTCTTGGATAATGGCATCCTGGGGAGCCTGTGGTTGACCAACAAAGGAGAGCTCATTATTCATTCTGCCCACCTACCCATTAAGCATGTCCGATGATGAGCTGCAGCAACCAAGGACCTGACAACGGTCACTTTGACGAAATGATGCTCTACAAACATGGCCGTGGGAAGATGTTTTTTCTCCACTCATACAGGAGTAATAAAGGACTAGTTCACTAATTATGTTTTTTCGTCAGGGGGTGCTGCAGCACCCCTACGTCCCACGGCTATGTTTAGGAATGTTTTACAGAGGTTCAACGCCCTCCCATTCTGTGAATTTGAATGCCAATGACAATAGGACATCCCTGAGGGCTGGCTAAGTCCCCATGCCTTGAGGAAATCAGGACACTAGGATGGATTGACACACTTTTACCGGGACATGGCACAAAACGAGAGCTAGGTTCACAAATACCTTTTGTTTTCGCCAAAATGTCTAGGGCCAAGCACCCTGGTTCTAACATACTGTATTCTACACAATGATGAACTACTG